TAAAAAAAAAAAAAAAGTCTCCTGGATTAACCAGGCGTTTTGGTGCGTGTCGCAACTGAGTGACCCGGAGCTGCCCTGGACGGCGTCTGTGTCGCTAGCAGCGTGTTTTGTGAGCCGCGAGGTCTCTTCTCTTCGTTTCTCGCCCAAGCAGTAAGCGACCAGTGGCTGAAACTTCAGTCGTACTGTAGAAGGGGCCTCGGGACATCCCCACCGTGCTTTTTATTCTTTGAAAAGTGCAATACGGAGAACGTCTTCCCCCTGCAAAGGGTGGCCAGGCAGGTGCTTCAGCCGCCTTCCCGCAGCCCAAGTCCTCTTCCAAGCTGAGGGGGCCACAGGGAGTCTGTCTCCAGGGGCGCCGCGTATTCGGGCGGGTAAAGGTAGCGTGTGCGTTTAGGCAAATAAATCTGAGAAGACTCTGGTGCCTGTTTAAGTCTAAAAGGGATTCTTAATAACGTGGCTTAGCAATCGCGTTTTACAAACTGTTCTTTAGAGACTTGGAAAAAAGCAGGTGAGAAGGGAAAGGTATAATGATTGTTTTTCATCTAAATGAAGTGGACTGTGAGGCTTTGGGATTTTTTTTTTTTTGCCTTGGTAAGAAACTTGTGTTTTGCTGGTATCTTACTTGGTATTTTAAACTTCGTATCAGGATTTTAAGGTTTTTTTTTTTTAAATGTTTTATGTAAGAGTCATCCTTGTTTAAGAACCCCCGGTCTTAAACAGGTACTGTAACAAAACATGAATAACAAATGTAGTCTTAAGTAAATTTCACAGCTATCTTTATGCTGTTAATATACATAATACAAACATATAGTGCGATTTAGAATGTGCAGTCACTTTTAGGTACTCCTTAAAATGGGAGCTTTTTTCCTTACTGTTTGGTGAATATAACTCATTTTTTCAGTTACTGCTTCAACAGCAAAGTAACTTAATGTTGTGTTGCTCGTAAAGAGGCATTGCTGTACCTGCACCGGCTTGGAGACGTACTGAAATCAGTCGAAATGAGGGTATATGTGGGAGAAGAATGTTATTGGGTCTTGGTTCCAGAGGATAAAACGATTATGCTAATCTTAAAATTTATAAAAACCCTTTGATCAATGTTCCACCAAGATGGAATCATCCTTGTTGCATGTCCTGTGCGTTTTGTTGCATGTGTTTTATGATGCAGGTAGAAAGATGCATTGCACACAAATACTGTACAGCATTTGTTTTACATAACTAAAGGTGAGGTTTGTGCAAGATCAGTGCTACCATTGAAGCTTCTTTCTGCAGTTCTGTGTAATTTTTGTTTATAGCATTATTTTTGAAGCATTGATGATCTTAAGAACTGGAAGAAGAACATAAACGTTTGAAGAGGAAAAGAATCTTTCTGGCAGCAGCCATGCTTAAGTTGCATGAAGTTGCTGAGATTGCAGCCTTTTATATCACTACACATACATAATTCCACAAGTACACACAGCTTATCCCAAATAAGAAGCTGTGTTTTCAAGATGCTTTCCACTTTCAGTGATTTCAGCAGGTCTTGAGGGTGTTCAGCATCTTTTTAGCATCTTATTAGAGGACTGTGAACTGTAAGAAGATCTCAGCGGGATCCCTGTGGATTCCCATGCAATAATACTGGGGCTCAATGGCTGCTGGAACTCCTACAGTCTAAGGAGGGAATCGCACCAACGTACTGCTGAGGAGCCCGAGATGCAGAATTTGACAAGGCTTTTCATCTTGGACGATTCACACTGTTGTTGCACTTAAAAATATGATGTAATGACTATAAACTTCTGAAGAGGACCAAAACACTGCTTACAGTGTGCTTTTTCAAAGCATGTGTGTGAAGCAAAGCATCGTCCATTTTTGGGCCATGTTTTGGCTGAGGCTGGAGTCCAGGAGTAACAGAAAAAGTCTAGTTCAAGTAATGAGAAAGAAGGCTCCCTACATCCGTGGGTAGATGGATTCTGGAATTGCTGCTTGATGTACTCAACGTAGGGTCAAACTAAGGAACTGTGTGCGGCCCACAGTGCTGCCTTACGTTGCTAACAGTTTACCGAAGACCCCAGATTAATGAATGTCTAACCAAGAAGTGGTGTAGATATACTTAGCCTGTTTAGAGCTAGCTTAGGTACATCTGTACCATGATAAATTCTGCAGCTTGTAGTGCTGTTAGCCCTAGGTAGTTTCTGTTGTGTTGTCACCAGATGTTTTAAACTCGTCGTTGGAGTTTAAAAATTAATGAAGCTTTAGGGGAAGTGAAAGAAAAAAACCCAGGACTTGTTTCTTTTAGATACTAGGCAATAACCTAAAAAGGCTATTAATGTACACTGTATTTAAAAAGAGACAAAACCTTGCAATTTTATGAAATGTTTTGATTCGAGGACCTGGAGTTTAAGGGAGGAAATGCCAAATAGCGCGACACTGCCAAGCGTATTTCTGTAGCTGTTGAGGGACTAGTGTGTGTCTGGTGAAGAGAGCCCTCAGCCTGGTGCAAGATTAACAAAGAATTGTTATCTTTCCTCTAGTTGTACAAAGCAGCAGTCAAATGAGGGTCCCAGTGCGATGGAGAAGTCAGGCAGCTGCAGCTGCAGCCACAGCAACAAAAAGCACAAAACCTCAAATTCAGCCAGAAGCGCGGTAAGTTTGCAATGAGGTGTGGGTGGGTGTGACTTTATTTAATTGCCCTCTGTCTCTCTCTGATATGGTATGCTGCTTTACTTACGTAGCAAAAGTGGTTATGTTATAAAACACAGCAGTCATGGGGATTGGCCTAAGGTTAGGGTTGTGGGGTGTGGTTTTTTTTTTTTTTGGGGGGGGGCATTATCTAGCTGGCTGTATTCGCTGAGCCTCTTGTTTTTCACACTTCTATGTTCTTCTATGTTCTATGTTTCACACTTCTAAGTTCTATGAGGCAAGGATTGTCTTACTTGTTCTCTGTGGAATGAAACGAGGCACTGGCCCATGACATGGGCTGGAAGAAGTGCAGAAATAATACTCTATTGTTTGTTCTTTTTCTATTATTATTTGGGTTTCTGCTTCCTGGTTTTTGTTCAGCAACTTCTTAATAAACCCTCTAGGCAGGAGGGAATGGAAACAGGTTCCTGGTCACTAAGATAGGCTTAGGCTCCTTTGAGTCCTCCTTTCATTCATTGGACTTCTAGCTTTAACAGGAGAATGTCAAAGTTCCCCAGTGCATCCCTGACTTTCCAAATAGGTGTGACACTCTCTGGAGGTGAGAAATCTTGGCAACTGGAATCCTTCAGGTTGTGGAAATGTGTTTTGGTTTTTTTTGCTTTGTTTTGTTTTGTTTTTTAATCTCCACCTCCTGGGTGAGAGTTCTGACTAGCAGCTTTTTATATAAAGAGGTGGTACCACCATCTGCTGTAGTGAGAGGGAAGTTAGTCTTGCTGAGTTCTTGTCAAAAAGAAGGGTGTTCTTTGGACGGGACTTGGAGCCCTGTCTGGACAGAAGTGCTTATGTGCCCCCAGCACTTGGCATGTTTAATGCAGGAAAGAGATGATACTGAGCACCCTGCCATTTAGCATTGTTGGCTCAGTCTCAGGTCCTGGTCTAATTTGTTTTCTGGATCAAGTTTCTCAGTGTGCCCCAACATTTCTAAAGGCACATTGTCCCTAGTCGTGGAATCTACTTTCAGGGTTGGATGTTACAGCACATAACTTGTTGCTGTTTAAATTTTATTTCGTTAGGTAGAACTTTGTCTTTCTCCTGCCATTTTCTCTTGGGCTGTAGAATGTGTATACGACCTAAGCATCTGACTTGCTTTCAGAATGGCAAGTGAAACAGTTCTTGGAAATCTCCATTTAAATCTGTCTGTCTCCCACATGTGTTTTCGCCTATTCATGAGCCCCTGATGCAGGGCTTGTGATGGACTCTGTGCTGGTAGAAGGTAGATGTAGTTCTGTTGTGCACTGCTGCTCTCTGGCACGCCCTTTACTCTTTCTTGGCATCTCTTTTCAGTTGGGAGGCAGCATGTGTTGAAAATATAACTGGCAGACTTATTTCGTCAGGGATTTTCCCCATTCCCATTCATAGTCTGCTGGCCATTTATGCCTGGCTTTGACCCACTTTTCCCCTTTGAACAGTGTGTCAGACCTGCACATAGAAAACCCATTGTGGGGGCAGGGAGGAAGCTGAACTTATTTTATATGTAGAAAGGCTCTTCACTTCTTTCATGGCCTCAGGAGATAAGATGTCTTTCTAAAGTAAAGATGGAAAAAACCCCAATGTGAGTAGCTCATCTATTTTCTAAGGAAACAGCTGTTTAGTTTAGTTTAAAATTACAGCTGGAGTTCAACTGAGATGGTTCCTTGGACCTTATTTTATAACTTCCCTTAGTGTTCAGCTGCAAGCTAATTTTCTCAGTATACTTCCAATTAAGCTCAGTGTTTCAAGATGATTGCTCTTACTGTTCACTGCCTATTCATGCCTGTAGTTCATATTTTTGCTTAAACAGGGTTAACTTTTAAATAGAGTGCTACTTCTGCAGAAGACAAATGCAGGAGGATAAGCTGATTATCTTGCAATTTTAAAAAAGCAGTACGTCACTAGGATTTGAAATGTCTGTTTTGTTTCTGTAGGAAACCTAAAACGGGAATCTTGATGTTAAACATGGGAGGTCCAGAAAGGCTGGATGATGTGCATGATTTCTTACTCCGTCTCTTCTTGGACAGAGATCTAATGACGCTTCCAGCACAAAAGTAAGAAACAGTGGGAACTTCTGTGTTAGGGTCAGTGCTAAGTGTTGCTGTTTTAGCTGTATGCTCAGACTTTAAGAACTGTTATGTATTTCAACATTTCTTAAGAGTGACGATCTGTTTTAATTGTCTTGGGACCAATTAGCACAAGAAAGTGTTGTAATTCTGTGGGAAGTGTTGGATATAGTGGGAAGTGTTGGAATGCCAAGATTGTTATCTTAACTTCTAAATGCAAACTGTGGTTTACTGTCAACTAGCAAATTTGAGAAGCGGGATGGAATACAGCATTGAACAAGCCATGCAATTAATGACAGTTCTAGTTACTAGTCTGCTATAGCTTAGAGGGATTCCTAAAGAGACCCCACTCCACCTTTGGGGAGGAGGGAGACGACTGGGGTTATGGTACTAACAGGTGTGGCTTTTGAATGCTTTAGTAAATTAGCACCATTCATTGCTAAACGCCGCACCCCGAGAATCCAGGAACAATACAGCAGGATTGGAGGCGGATCACCAATCAAAAAGTGGACGGCGGTGCAGGGAGAAGGCATGGTGAAACTGTTGGACAGAATGTCTCCTCACACTGGTACTGCTTTATTCCACTGTTCTTATCAAAAGCTTGTTTTGTCTGATGTGTTGGAAATGTATGTTTCTAAAGTAGCTTTTGCTTCTTGCTGTTATTGCGAGTGTGAGCAGTGTTTTGTGTTCTGCTTAGAAACCACAGTAAAAATATTGCAAAAGTTCTTGCTCTTTAAAAAGTCAGCATATGCAAGGCACGGGGTTCCTGTGCCTGCGAATATGTTTTTGTGCTGCGGTCATTTCTGTGACTGCATGGGAGAATAGGTTTAATTTTGCACAGTAGATTGCTGTCCGTACTCACTGAACCTGCAGCGACAGAGTAGCACCACAATCCAACCAACAATGAAACGTTTACCCACCTTCTCAGGCTGGATGCAGTTCGTGCTGTGGTCCTGATGCCTCCTCCATCTGTGCCTGAGGTAACTGGTTTAAAAGCTGACCTGGGTATGTCCACTCTTAGACACTTTTGGCATGTTTCATCATGCATATCTTCAGTCATTAAGAAGCTAGGTATCTGGCATAAACTGATGGTCCCTGGTCCCTCTCTCATCGAGTGAGAGTAGGGCATATTGAGAGATTGATTCAGCATATCCTAGGATCATTGTCAGAGGTGGCGGAAGGCGGAGGAGGGAAACTTACCCTCTAAAGGTACCCTGTCTCTCTCCTAGGAAGAAACCTACATGACTACATTATACAAGGAGATGGAGCTTTGAGGCCGTTGGCAGGATAATCTCATGTAGTTGTAGTTCTGCAGTTTTCTTGACTGTGAGGAGGTAGGGTGGGAGAATGCTGATCTCTGAGCCTGTGTGAGTGCACGCATATGTGCACATGCATGCACACATTAAAATTCTGTTTATCTAGGGTTTCTTGGTTGCTTGTGTTCTGCGCACTGAGGCTATTGAGTTTCTACAGCAGGAGATTCCATCCCTCTGTGAAATGCCTGGCCGCCGCCTCGTGGCTGTTTCTTGTAGCTAACTCCAGAACTGCTCAAGGACAGCGGCCACAAAATTGCAATATTCAACGGTCAGGGCTCAGAGGACAGTGCAGTAATTCCTACCCCTGTAGTTTCATCCTGAGAGTGCATTTCCCAGTATGGGACTAGCTCAGCTGGGAGATTGTGCAGTGACTGTCTTACATAAGACAGCTCTGATGCCAGAACTTAATTCTCTAAAGCCCTTCGTATTTGGCTTTGTTATGTCAGCGTGAGCCTGAACGATAGGTAACGTTACGCGTGGGAGGGTGTCAGGAGCCTCAGATATTCTCCCAGGCCCCAGATCTGTTTTCATTCCTTTAAAATGTCCTTCTGCAGCTATTGCCTGTGTGTATCCAGAGTTCTTGAAACTTTGACTGAATTTGTAACCCTTAATAAGGAATAAAAGATGTAACACCAATTAGGCCTGACTGCAGGACTGAAGAGGATGTCAGTGGGAAGAAAAGATACTATTTCATAGTTGAAACTGCAGGGCTGGGTTGAGTAATAGCTGTTGGCCCCACCCAAGGGCACGAGCTGGAGATAAGGCCAAATGGTTTGGTTTGGGTGGAAGTAGATACTGTCTTTGCTAGTTCTTCCTTGGCTGTGAGTGAGCTTGAAAGGTGAATAAAATTTCCATCCGCTCTATCAAATTCGCTCAATCTCTTTGAACCTGGGCTCTCTCACAGCAAAGAGGTGCGAGACTTCTATGGGTTATCCTGTGCTTAGGTACTTGGGTAGCACTGGTATAATGGAAAACCCATGCAGATTCTTGTGGAAAAGCCCTTTTACTGAGGGCTTAAGTTAATGTGTGTTTTATCTCGTAATTGGAATGGGCTAAGTGTGCAAACATAGGCAGTTGTATCACTCACCTGATGTTAATCTGCTGTGATTCAGGCATGTTTAATCCCTCCCTCCTAAAACTTCATACCAAATTCGTACATAAGCCATTTTTAACTCAGGTTAAATGTATTCAAATGTATTTACAGCAGAATTTGCACCACTTTAGCAAAACTACTTTCAGCTGGGTTGTTAGCTGAATTAGACTTCAGTTGGTATTGTCTCATGCTCAGTTAGCAGCTGTGAAGAACTAGAAATCTTGGTTCCTCTTCTGTCTTTTTCTGAAAGTGATAGACTATTTGTGTCTGTTACCTTTTGTGCTACGGTTTCTTGCCGTGTGACATTAAAACCATGATATTAATAAATAAAGCGGCAGCTCTAGGAATCAAACTTCCACATCCACATAGCAGCTCAAGGATAGTGGCAGTCTTCTGTCACTTGCCTCTCATGCTGTCACGATATAGGCTAAAAAGACAATGAACCATCGCTGTTTTGACAGAAGCCAGGAGAAACAATGATGTGATGGTTGTTCTGTCTGAAGTGAGCTACGTGGGGGTCACCTTTGTTCTCGTGAGTTGTTTCTCTGCATTATGCTTTTTGTTCTTGTCGCAACAAGCTGCCTCTGTGAGTAAAGGAATTAACAAGACCACTAAGCTGCCCATTGAGTTCCTCACCAACGTGTTTGCTTCAGGTATTTCTCATCCTGCCACTCCAGTATGAGCACTAAAAATTTTTAGTAGAAGTAAGATGCTGAAGTAAGAGAAGCCAAAGGAGGGAGATCTCCGTTCTCTTCAGCTCAGCAGCTTTACGCTGGTGGTTGCTGCAAGCATTCTTTTCCCTTCAGTTTCTGTGGCCTTGCAGTCTTTTGCTGATGCAATATTGGCATGTCAGGGAATCCCCCTGTGTGTCTGACAATGCACGTTCTTTGATTCCCAGCTATATTGTAATTCTTTGTAGGACCTACTTCAGACTTGTGTAGGAAAGGATTAGAGATAGAAGGTTGGTAGAAGGGTCTGGAAGAGGTGGAAAAATAGCAGTCTTTGAAGACTAGGGCCAAAATTCTTCCTTTCATTCATTCCAAACACAGCTGTCACAAATTTGTTCATTTAGGTCATATTCCTTTCCCTCTCCCCTCCTGTCCCCCACAGATGCTACTGTGCAGTTTAATTCCAGCTAATTCCAGCTGCAGTCCTTGAAAGTACAGTCAAAGCCTGGAGCTGAAACTGTGCCCTGTTATGGCATCAAAACCAGTAGTGTTTTTAGTAAAAGTAGCCTCTGAAGGGTCAGGCTTGCAGCAGGTTCTGAAGATAAAACTTAAGAAGTGTTATCTGCTTTTTCTCAGAGTGCCGCTCCAACTTGCTTTTGTTTGGTGACCGTTTTTCTGAAGTCATATCTGGCTCTATCTGCTGTTGCCGTTCTTACATCTGGCCTGATAACGTTGTTCAAAGACCTGCTTTATCACCTAGCAGTAGCTGCAGTCTTAAAATTTGAATGTGCTAATCACTTTCTTCAGCAATTCAAGTAATTTTGCAGTGACATCAAGTACTGTGTTGCTTCAGAATAGCTTGAAACAGCTAAATGTACTTCTAGATTGAGCTATATATTTTGGATTATTGTGTACTCACCTTGAACACTTTGTGTGGGGGCACTGATGACAAGTACTGTTAATGCATAACCTGCAGGTTGTGGTGGTAACACATGAGATGCATGGTGAAGAAGAAATACTTTGCATGCTTTCATTTTCCTGATCTGGATTTTAACTTTGTAGGGTGGTAGAGTTTTCAGTTGGTTATGTATTTACAGTTGCTGAAGACTTTATTTTAGACAGTATCAATAACCACCCGTAAAATTCCCTCTTGAATATCGCAAGTCAGTAAATTGATTTATTTACCTGTTTGACATGTCCCACTTTGACACTGGGACCAATATCGAGTAGTAAATAAACAGCGTCACCCACATCATCTGGGTGGGAACAACACAATTTCAAAATGAAGCTTTATTGTTACAGGCAGCTGTCTGAAAAATGAACAGAATTCTGCCTTCCTTAATGAATAGGATTGGGTAGGCCCAGTAGTCTGTTTGAATAAATCATACAGGTATGATGATACAAAAATCCATTTCTATTGTGTTGTTTTTCTTATGGTAGTATTGAGTAGGCTAATATTTAGCAATTTTAATGATAAATGTGCCTTCTTAAAATATAGTTAAAACAATAAAGAAAGCAAACTGTTCTTAGTATTTCTTACAAGTCATATTTCAGTTGAGATTCCCTTCTAGCTGTCAGAAGAACGAAAGACCTGAGGCCACGTTGTTTACTTTGATTGGCAACTGTCTTCTCTTGGTGGAAGGAGCTGTCATTTAATCTGAGTAGTCCTGATTCTGACTGCACCTGTAAATCGTATATGCATATGCCCACGTGAAAATCTCTCCTTTGCTGCCTGTGCTCCAAGATAAAACATAATACAGTGAGAATACACCAAGAAGTTCCCTAGTTGCTCAGAGTTTTTCCCAGTATGTCCCTTCCCAGGTTAGAGCCATACTGTCTTCCCTCTGGTTAGTCAATTTTTTTTTGATGTCATTTAAAAATGTTAATGAGGTTGCTGCCCCCAGGGCTGCTGAAGTTGGGTCATTATTTGCGACTGCTCCCAGCAGTGAGCTCTCTTGCCTCCTGCAGAGAACTGGGGCCAGCTAAACCTGCTTTCCAAATCCCGCATAAAAGTATAGACTGGAGACCAAACGAGCACATCTGCTTCCTTCAGAAACCTGTTAAATGTTATTTCAGAACTAGTGACCCAGAAACCCTAAAAAAAAGAAACTTTGTTTTTTTTCTCCTAGACCAAAAGAGTAGAGCTGGAAAACAAGAGCATGAAGCATTGTCCTTGGAGGAAAATAGTATTGCTTCCAAACTAAAGTGTTTACGTGCACGAAGACTTCTGTGGAGAAACAGAAACAAACCAGAAATGAAAGAACATGTGTCCCTTATTTGGGACTAGTAATCTCCTGCCCCAAACAACGATCCCTGTCCTTAGGGGCTTATGTGCAAACGGACCAGGCTTATCCAGAGTGGGGGAAGGCATCTTCTCTCGCAAGGAGACTGACCAGAGCAGTTGCATCAAATGACGGTTCCACATTGTGCTGTTTTTAGCTTTGTTTTATAGTGGAGTTAACTAGAGGCAAGGAATAGAAAGTAATGAAATATAAATTTTGTATGTAAATAGAAGGATGAAGGAAAAGATAGAGTGGTGGGGGGGGGAAGGCAAGGAAGCCGGGTGTTTGGAGTTGGAGTTTGAGGGCAGAGAAAGGAGGGTGTGTTGAACAAATGGTTGGTATCCGAGGTAATTCTGTCTAAGAGCCCTCTGCAGTGTCATGACTGAGGCCCTCGTCACATGGCCTCCTTTGTGCGCTGAAGTTGTACTGTTTTGATGACTTCTCCAATGGCGCTTACAGCTTGAAAGGAATAAAGTTAGCTCATTTTCTTGAAATGCCTTATAGGAAGCTAATATCTATAAGGTACAGGGTCTTTTCCTCTTTGAAAAGTGACCCTCTCAAGATGATCCCTGTAGAGCTGAATGTTTCAGGGTTGGCTCACAAAATTGCAGCCTAATTACACTTGAAAGTTTAGGTAAATAAAACTTCCCAGAATGTACAATCTGTTTAAAGAATTTCCTTCATTTTACCAAAAATGTACAGCAGAAAGAAGAAAGCCTCATTTCCCTTAGAAGTTTTGGCATTTTAGTTATTTTGTTGTACTTGAAACATCCTCCCTCTGCCTTTTTTGATTTGACTAAGTAGGTTGATCTGTGCTGCCAGGAAGACTACAACGCTTATGTAGCTGTGGTCTATATTACAACGTAATAGTGTTGATTTAACATCTTTAACACAATTCTACCAATACACTTTTAAATCAGAACTTGTCTAGTAAAATGTCAGAACTCTCTGCAGTCTGAAAACTATGCTATTACTAAGCTAAGCAAAACCAGAAATGTGATGATTCCTGCAGAAACAAATAATAGTGTAAATCACTTGTAAATTCTCCTAACAGCAGAGTAAGTTAACAGCAAAATACTTGGCCAATGAAAGATGTTTTTATATGACAGCAGTTTAGAAAAAATAGCCGGAGAAGTATCAACAGGTTTATTTCAGCACTTTAGGTCTGTCTAGTTTTGTCCTTTGTACTTGTTGGTGAGAGAAGGGGTCAAGACTTCAGCAGTTGGTAGAATTTTTGTTTAGCATTTTGACTGATGGGGCATGCTTCTGAGTAGAGATGACTCATGGGTACTGAAAGGTGATGTTAAAATAAGACTTCTCAGTAGATGTTTTTCATCTGCAATTTCTTTTCCTATGCTTTGGTTGACAGCACCTCACAAATACTACATTGGTTTCCGGTATGTCCACCCTCTGACAGAAGAGGCAATTGAAGAGATGGAGAAAGATGGGATTGAAAGGGCTGTTGCCTTCACGCAGTATCCACAATACAGCTGCTCTACCACAGGTGAGAGCGTATGCGGGAGCAGAATGTGAACAGCAGACAGGTGAATGTAGCCACATATCGGTGAGCCAAAACCAGGGAGCCTCATGCAGTGTGTGAATGCAAGTCTATCCTGTGTTCCTCGAAGTGCCCTTTCCTGTTAGCTTCATCGCCGACTCAGTTTTCTGTATTCTATTATAATGCCTAATTTTTGATAGAGACTTTTAACTAAGGATAGCTTTATGTTAGCGTTGTTATTGTAAGATAAAATATAAACGGAAGGCCCAGGAACACAACTGAGTAAGCTCTCCTTGGAAACTACAGCAAAAACTGTGCTTTAATCAAAGAATGGCTTAGCAAGTTATTCTTGGCTTTTGCATTATTTGGGCTTTATGAGATAATTGTTCCCTTCTGATGTTTTCAGTTCTGATTTACAGTTGTTTTTTCAATATGTAGCATTTAAAAATATTGAAATAGTTTGCTACAGAATTGTTTTCATCTGACAGGTTATTAATGCCTTGGATGAATTTATGTTCTTAATTCTCTGTGTTTCAGGAAGCAGTTTAAATGCTATTTATCGCTACTATAATAAAAAGGGGGAGAAGCCAAAGATGAAGTGGAGTATAATTGACCGATGGCCCACACATCCCCTTCTTATTCAGGTATAGGTTTGTATGGAAGTCTTTGAAGTTGGCAGTCAGAATGAGACATGTAAACAGAACAGTTTTGATATGGAGTTGTCCAGGGACAGTTGTGGTACCGTGAAATATCCTTTTAAAGTCACTGTTTCATCTGCAAAAAGAAAGTCACAGTTCTTCTGCACGTACTGTGTGTATGCTTCAGCATTCAGGAGACAGATGTACTCATTTACAACTATCATATCGTTCTGTCTGTGTCATCAAATTGACATTTCCTGGGCTTTTCTTAGCTTGGTTAATGTTGGTATCTTTGCATTGCCAGCTGGCTTTAAAACAACAAAAAAAAACTCTCATAAAGCAAATACGGACACTTGAGTTTTCTTTTTAGAAACGTTTGCTACCAGTAAAAACACCATATAATTTTATACAACCAAAACGTTCTGAGGAATCACTTTTTTATGTCAAGTCTTAGTTTCTTACAAGACTTAAAAGGCTTTTAGCTATAGAATATCCTAAAAGGAGATGAACTTGTTTTGTGATTTAGACTATGATTTCGTTTTAAAAAAAAAAAAAGGCAAAAATAGAGTGCTTCAATTTGAGGGTACGTTTTGATATGCAGTAATGAAACATGTCTTGTGTACTATATCTGAAATTATAAAAGATGGATGATTATTTCATGCCAGACGTTCTGATGCAATGATGTGAGAAAGTGAGCACCCTGTACCTCTTGTTTTAAAAACATAAAATCATATTGTCATAGCAGTGTTGACTGGAAGGGACCTCTGGAGGTCATTAGTCCAGCCTCTTGCTTGAAGCAGGTCTGTAGTTGATACAGGTACACATCATATCCCTTTGTCAGATTCTCATGTGTCAGCAAAGAGGTGTGTAGTTCTAGTCACAGCAGTGGCTGTGGCAGGAGTGATTAAGAGAAACCCTCTTGCTCCTTCATTTTCAGATAAAATGTCATTTTTTTGTCTTTGCTGGAGAGCTCAATGCTTGTTCTCTGGCTTGGATTTTGCAATTTTTGTGGTGTACTGAACAGACTATAAGAACAACTGGAGGAAAGAAAAATGGAACTGCCTGCAGTACGTGAAGTTCCCCTGACAAGCTGATTGAGTGTGATGTGGGATTTGTCTTTGTTAGTAAGCACTCCTCATACCCAGAGTGAAACACCTCAGCAGAGTTTAGCAACCCTTGATATATTTGCAGAATCTACAACATGATGGTTTCCATTAGACAGAGTGGGTACACGTGCACGTTTTTTTTTTTGATAAGCCAACCAGTGCATCTCTCCTTAAGCCCAAGGGAGGCTGTAAGTGGATGGCTGGCTCAGTCCCTGATTATAAAATTGAAATGGAAATTAAATTTTAATTTTTGTAATGTTTCTGCCCCATTTTTCACTGTAAAATATCTAAGAAAAGACCACACAGACAGCTACTTCCTGTTACTGTAGCACCATATGTAAGCACTGATGGCCGCTGCTTTTCTGTCTGTACATCCCCTCAGCCTAGCTGTGTTTAAGCAGTATTACAGTTCTCAGTTCAAGCGCTCCTGGTGGGAGTGTGCGGTCAGAAGTGTTCTATTACTTTTTTGTGTAGCACTAAGAATGTTTTTAGGTGTTGGTTGACAGAGGTTGTCTGTCTCCAATGTTATCCTGTGAGCTGAGATCAGGGTAGAGGTCTCTGAATAAAGTTCTTCTCTTGAACTTGTCTCAACAATCCATGAAGGGACACCTTTCACATAGCAGGTTCTTCTCTGAGGCAATGTTTACATATTTGCTTTAATCCAGTTTAAGTGTAATGGGGCTCTTAAAAAGGATGGTTCTCTCTGCCCCGTTCACTTTCTCTCCCCTTGCCCAAGCAGTTGCATTCATGTGGCCTGCCTGGTCAGGGAACCGTCCTTTGGAAGGAGTAAAGGAGAGTTTGTTTGAATTGGCTATATTCTTTCAGTTTCTTACCAGCATCTAAAAGCCATTTTCATTGATTGAAAGTTCACAGGGGCATTTGGTGGTGTTGAGACTGGGCACTCTGTGTGATTACATCCCGAACAACGTGCATGCTGTCTCTCAGCCTTCCCCCACACATACTGAAATGAGAATTTTGAAGTTCTGAAGGCAACCTAGAACACAGAAGATGCTTGAGTCATTTCTGAGTGCATATTAACTTTTTAGCATTTCCTGATTCAGATCTTTGCTCTCTTTTTCTTAACAGTGCTTTGCTGAACATGTACAGAAGGAACTGGATTTGTTTCCACCTGACAAAAGAAAAGATGTTGTTATCCTTTTCTCGGCTCACTCGCTCCCAATGTCTGTGAGTTGCATCAGGTTGCTTCTGAAATTACTAGACCAGGGTCACTTTGGCTTAGCAGATTGGAAGGTTGTGCAGCTTGCATGCCACAGGATCAGTTATACCTTGGTGTCGTACCTTGTTGTCTACCACTGTTGTAGAAGTGCCAGACAAACAAAAGATGAATCCGTGAGTTGGAGCTGAAGGCCTGACCCAGAGTTGAAGACTAGGCTTGTGAGCTGTTGTTACTTTCCTGCGTGCTTACTCGGATCTGTACTGTTGGCTGCTGTTGAAGATAGGATGCTGGGTTAGGTGGATCTCTGGTTGAATTCAGTATGGCTGCTTTTATAGTATCGCATGTTTGTAAGCTCAAACTTGGATGATAATAGATGGGGAAAATTTGATGTTTTCTCTCTACGAAGTAGTAATATTATTTTTCCTGAAGGAATGGAAATAAAATCTTTGCAAGGTTGCACTAAATGACCTGAACGTTCCACTGCCAGTAACCAACAGCTTCAGCAAAATGGCTTCTAATCGTTGTTCAGAAATACAATCCTGATACCAAAAGGTAACAGTATGTATGTATGAAGGTTGAAGAATGTATCCATCATGTGCAGGAGGAAGAGTAGATGTGAAGCAGCTTCATTATAAGTGTTGTTGGGTAGGAATGCTGTTTTTCTTCTATGATGAGTCAAGCACTTGATACACCCTACTCAGGGTTCAGTCAAATCACGTGTAATGTGCTTCACCTTTTCAGACGGTCATTTCCCCAGGCTGTTTGCTGTGTGAAGCAAACAGTATGACCAGAAGCTCACTGCTGCACTGGGGGGAAAAAAGGCAACTGATTTTAATGGAATTTTACTCTATTTCTTTTTAGCCCCTGATTTAAACTCTTATGTGTTTGTGCGTTACTTTAAAAAGGTACAGTTGTAACTGCCCAGACACTCTGGGATGTACTCTGGGTATGTAGTAACTTCCACTTATTTTGGGGAGAGACTGGAATAGCTAATTCGGAGAACAGAAATAGGAAAGCCGGTGTGGGGAGTCCTTACTGTTAGAGTACTTCAGAGGGGAGCAGAGAACTCGGGGACGCTCTCTGTCAGAAGTAGCGCAGGCTGGATTCTGCGGTCCCACGCTGGTGGTGGTTGCCTGCAGGTCGAGGCCAGGGTGTGGGTGGTGCCCTGGGCCTGTCCCTGGTTGGCACCATTTGCGAGGCCCTGCTGCCATCTAGTGCTTAGCGGCAAAGGCAGATGCTCAGCATCACTTGTCTTGCCGGCTCCTGGGCTGCCTCTGCGCTGTTAGTTATGAATACCTAGTGTGCTCTGTCTCTGAAGCCAGAGGTGGGGACTGACCCATGTCTGCGATATGAAACAACCTTCCTATCAGGGCAGGATTACCACTTGCAGACTGCCTGATGGGAATGGTTCGTGGCCTAGCCTAACTGCCAGACCGTGATTTGGGATTATTTAGAAGAGGTTTAGCAGCATGGGTTGAAAACGGGCCAAGCGCTCTTCTAACAGTTTGTCTGTATTTACACTTGACTTTAAGGTCTTGCATTTGATTTACTTGTGTGCATATAAACTTAGAGGTTCCAGGCCTTTGCACGTTGGGCTTGCTAAAAGAGTGGTGAGAAGCAGTCCGTGTCCTACAGACTAAGCAACCACTCTTTAGAACAGCTGAAGTGATCTCAGGATGCCAAAAGACGTTATAACCTTTATAATGTCATTGTGTTGTAGGTAAATGCTGTGTTTTCCTAGGTAAATGATTATTTTGTCTTTGCCTGTAGGGTTTTTGTTTGGTTTCTTTCTCCCCTCTTTTTAAGAGTAGCAAATGCATCTTAGTCTTTAGATGGACTTTGCACAAATATGTTCCTGTGGAATTAAAAGGGCTGGTGTCTTTGTGTTGAAGGTAGTGAACCGCGGTGATCCATATCCTCAAGAAGTGGGAGCTACTGTCCAAGGAGTCATGGAGAGGCTGAACTATTCCAATCCTTACCGGCTTGTGTGGCAGTCCAAGGTATGTGCTCAAGAAAAAAATATAAAGCCTTCCGTCCCTATATAGCTCTTCAGCTATTACAGTTTATGATCTTTTCTTCCAACTTTGTCCATAACCTCAGGGCCTTTTTTACTGTTTGCAGGAGTATTTCTGCTATAGTAGAGCCTTCATCTTTTGCTCGTGTTTGGCTTTTTCAGATACTCTTTATCCACAGATTCTTGCTTTTTAAGAGAGATTTTGCATCATTTTAAACTAGATTTTTGATGTGACTGCTAGAAAATCTTTGATCTCATGTTATTCAGATAAGCATTTTTCTTTGTCTGTCAGAGAGAAGAATCAAGCACCCACTGGATTTCTGTGTTGCTTTTTGAGGATCTCTGAGCAATATTTGCAGAAGTTGTCGCTGTGAAATAGATATCCTCAATGATAGGAAGCTAATCCAAACAGATGTCAATATTCCTGAGGAAGACTGCTTCCATCACTTTGTTCTTATTACTACTGCAAACACCAAGAAACATTAGTTTCACCAGAATTATGTAGTGCAAGCAGCTTATATCTCAGGGGCATTATGCCTAACGTGCCGTTGTTTTGTTCTAAAGTTGCATGTTATGGTATGTCAGCACCAAGTACTTCACGGATAGTAAAGGGATGAGAAGAGTTTGTTGCATCCTGAAAATGCTTACTGCTTTAACAGACAGGTAAAACCTGTGCAGTAGTGATTAGGTTTGTACTGAACTGAAAACAATTTTAATTCATTTGGATACAAGAATCTCTTTTAAAGCTAGTCCACACACTGTTTTTGGGGAGACTTAAACAGAAGGACTGTGTGTTTTCATCAAGATGTAATAGATAAAGGGAGAGATGTTGTCAAAAATAGACGTACTTGATGTTGTTGAATAATCTAGTCTGTGTTGACCTACTTAAGAAAATTATTAATTTTTTAAAAAATTTAAGAATGATTTATTTTATCTCTTTTTCTCCCTTTCTAACAGGTTGGGCCAATGCCTTGGCTTGGTCCACAGACAGATGAAACCATTAAAGGACTGTGTCAAAGAGGAAAGAAGAACATGTTGTTAGTCCCGATAGCTTTTACAAGTGATCACATTGAAACACTTTATGAGCTGGATATTGAGTATGCCCAAGTTTTAGCAAATGAGGTAAATATTTTAGAGTTTTTGTAATTGCTTGGATAGTGGTACTCTCAAAGGAATTTTTTTTTTTTTTAATCTTTTGAAGTTTTGCTTTGTAGTTACTCTTTGCTATGTGATTTGGGGCAAGTTTTCTTTTTCTGTAAACTCGGAATTAATCTCAACTGGCTGGACTCAAAGGAGTTTTTAGCAGCACAAAAGAGATGGGAAATTTTCTTGAGAGATTGAACTCTCTAAGCTGCTACTATGCTAACTAAAAAGGAAGCATTGGATATTTGGCAGCAAAGTGAAATTTTGCCTTATTGTCGCTTTATTGAAAAACAGGATATCGAATTTAATTCAGTTATTTTGGGACAAATTCTGAGTAATACAAAGAGAAGATTTTGAAAGATAGCTAATGAAGGTTCTAGCAGACTTAACTTTTCTCTTCTTTCTTGTGTTTGATTCAGTGTGGAGTTGAGAACATCAGAAGAGCAGAATCTCTTAATGGAAATCCTCTGTTCTCCAAGGTATGTTGTTTGTTGCAATAGTTGAAGTTTGCAATTGTATGTTTCCTACTGGATTATGGGTGTCTTCACAGATTTTTGAATGGTTCTGAGTTTCAGAACAATCTGTAAACCACAAAGTTTTCTTTTACTGCAGTTTTTAAAAGTCTAGTTTAGAAGTTTGCTTTGCCAAAGAAAAACAGTTTTCTATTCACTTGTCACGTTTTAACGATATGTTTCTTTTCAGATGCTATGCCAATGCAGTTCTAAAATGGGGTTTTCCACTGAAATATAGGGAGATGGTGCTTAAAAAGCAGAATGCAGTCTGACGGATTCACAATTTGGCAATCTCACTAGTCTGTAACACGTACTAATGCGTTTTCTTAATTTTATGCGAGTAGTTTTGCTCACTTCCAGTTTTTAATTAACTGTCTTTCAGGCTCTGGCAGACTTGGTCTATTCACATATCCAGTCGAATGAAATCTGCTCTAAGCAGTTAACCCTCTGCTGTCCGCTCTGTGTAAATCCTGTCTGCAGGGAGACAAAAGCCTTCTTCACTAATCAACAGCTGTGATGGGCAATCTGGGAGAACACTGTTGGATTATACAGGAAACAAACTTTGCCTTGGTGACAATGTAAAGAAAAGGAACTGTTTGATCGAACTCTTCTCTCTGTTACGTACTTACAGAATGGTAGTCTCACTGACGTTAACCTGAGGAGAACTTGACGTTTTTGTTTTTTTTTTTTTTTTGTGTGTGTAGGAAGTAGGGAAATAAGGGCCTGATCCTATGAGATATGGAGAGACCTCATCTTGCCTAATTCTAATGGGACTTAGCAGGAGCCCAGCATGCACTGAAAAAACTTACAAAGCTTTTATATAATTTGGCTTCTATCTGCTTTGCAGGGAAATTGGCTTCTGTCTATTTTGCAAGAATTTCTTTGTGTGTGGTTTCATCATGATTACATTGATTTCAGCTTTCCGGGTCAAGTGTACAATTATTTGCTTTGTTTATGCTTATGGTACAGTATAGCCAGCACAGTCACCAGTTGTCTCTTCTGACAGTGATCTTTTCATATAGGTTTTGAAGATCAAGTGACTTCTAATGCTTTTTAAAATAACATATATTTTTTTAGAACATAAGGATAAGGTTTTGTTTTGTTTTTCCTGCCAGAGGCTTCCTATGAATGCTTAGCTATGATAGTAGATCTCCCAAGATTTGTTTACACTTTCTAGAAGAACACGTTCATTATCTTCAGGAAAGCCCTGTGTTTGGAGAGCATAAAACGAAAGAAAGAATCTTGCTTGGGCGATGCTGAGGAATGTGCTCAGTTGAAACCGACTCTCTAGGTTTCAAGTCTAGGAGCCATCAACAGGGCATGTTGGAACGTGTTGGCTCATCTTTTTTTTTTTTTTTTAATTATTATTAAAAGGGCTTTCTCTGGTTGAGTAAACTTAGGAAGTCAGACTTGCTCTCCAGAAGTTTTATAGATGTGCTCTGTGTTTTTTGCTGTGTCACAGTGCTGTGGTTTTTGGGGGATACCTATGGAGCTATGTAGGTAGAACTGGCCTAACTTAATTGATGCTGTCATTTAGAACTGAGATGATAAATTGGGAGTAAATTATATGGTAGATGCCCGAGAGGAGAGCAGGCTACCCCTTGTGTTGAAAGCTGTGTGCTTTTTTCAGGTTTAGATCCCGTAGTCTGAAGCTGAAATCCATCTGTTGGATTTCTGACACTTGCAGTGGGTCTGGAGTATGCACCCATAATCCATCTAAATTGCTTGTTTTGGCAGGCATTTGGATGCCTCAGGACTGTCTGAATCCACTTCTAAGTAGTGTTAGTTTTGTAGAGTGAAAAACCTTTTTAGGGCAACACTCTTTTCACTGTCAACACCAGGACAGATGTCCAGGTTAGTCTTGGGACAGGAGGGGATTTTGTTTCCCCTGGCTGGTCACCACATAACATTTCTGACCTTGGGACCTGAAGTAGTTCAGGGCAAAAGTACCGCAGCACCTCAGTTAATGGTCTTTCACTCCAGGCCTGTCCTGGGATGAAGGAAGAGCAAAGCTGTGACCAGTGTTCTGTGGCATTGAGCCATTACGAGTATTAGTCTAGCTGTTAGCTTCTTGGATATAAACGTTTATGTGATTAGCACTGAAATGCCAGTCCTTTGGCAATGCAGGTTGTTTTCAGACAGAGACCCTCTGTAAACTGAGGACCAGCTAATCGTAAGATTTGAAGAAGCAGAATTCATGCTACTCGGACAGTTTTATTTGCTTATATAATTAAGAAGCATGAACAGTTTGAACCTCTGATATTTTTAATGATAAGGTTGTTTAAAAAGAAAATAGGCCCCTGTTGGTGTAACAAGGGCTTACTCTATTGTTTTGACCATAAACATATGGTTCCCTTGTTCTAAAATATGTTAGAAGAATTAAACCTAGGATATTAAAGAAATAAGTGGGTGCTGTGTTGATCAGCCAGTGGGCCGCATACTGTTGTGGAGTGATGTAAGCTGTACCCTCCTGCCTTTCTGGGACCCATGGCCTAATATGTCTTGAGAGTTGAATGAAGTGTCTCTACTGCCATACTGCAGCTTCTGAGTGTGATTATGGTGAGACAGACTTAAACTCCTCCAGTGACAGAACCTCCCTACACTACTGCTGCTATCCCTTGTTGCTTCAGCAGAAAGAAGTCTTCCTTAACCCTTTGTTTCTATGCCTATTCTCAGTAGCAGGGGCAGGTCTGCAGAAGAAGCCAAGGATATGAGACCATGCTGCCTGTCCAGGGCTTTGACTTCCAGCACCTTGCTCTATTTTTAGTGCTTTCTGATTAGTAGAGATGGATGGTTTTCAAGCAGTGGGAGAATCTGTAGGGCAGTTTTTCCCCTTTTGTGGACATGAGTGGAGACTGGGCTTTTGAATGTCTATGTTGAATGGGACCGTAGCAGGGTGGCAAGGCGCTACGTAGCCAAAACCGTCTCCCTCCAGGAGCTTCAGTCGCCTTTAAACCTTTCAGTTCTGGTTCAAGTGTGCTCTCTTGTCTGCCTTGGCATGGAAAGTACCAGAGTTCTCCAAGTGGCTGCTAGCCCTGCGGGGAGCCCTTGTGTACATCTCCAGCCTCCTGTCCTTGCCCCGTTCCTAGTCTCCACTCGTCGTGTTGGCAGGAAAATGGAACACTAAGAGCCCATTGCTGCCCTCGCTCAGATGGCGTTGGTAGAGTTGTTGCCTGTGTATGGAAGGGTGAAATTTTCAAGGAAAGGCTTTGATGAATCAATGTCAAAAGAATAACAATGTTTGCAGTGTATGTGAGGAGCGAACTTTGACCTTATGTCTCTCTTTGAAGAACTGCTTCTCTCCATTCCCACTTCTCTGCTTCACGCTTGTGGGTTGGTAGCAAACAGTCTATTTTATAAAATGTTCCTACTGATACCTCTGTAAGTTGAAGGGTATATTGACCTTCAAATCCAGGTTGTGACCAGCACTTTTGCACATGTGAAGCTATAAATATAGACTGGCTTTTTATTTCCCTACTAGAGGTGGTAGGGAAAATATTAGCTGGCATTAATTATGAGACATTATATTTGTCCCCAGTAATAGAAGGTATTTAAAATTCACTTTTAAAGTGCTAACCACAAGTGAGATAATTACTAGGCCTGTTTAGGCTATTGTTACTACTAGACCATAATGTAGAAATCACTTAATTTTCTAGCTTTTAGCAGATGGATCATGTCTTATTGAGTTGGTGGGGTTTTTCATTTTGTTGAACAGAGCGTATGGTATCACACTGTCTACTATTTCACAAAAGTTATTTTGTCTCAATGCAACATCAAAAAGCCTGCTGAAAGACTACCTTAGCAAGTTAGCTAGCAGCTCTACTGATTATTTTTAATAGAAATCTGTCTTTTTTCCCTTGCATTTAAAAATTAAATAAAAAAAAGAAATCGCAGACACTGATAACAGTGGGAATTCTGTTGCCATTGAAATGTTCTGATCATGGGTTTTATGTTTGGAAGCATTTATAACTATGCTAACTAACAGTGGAATTCATTTGACCTTACTTTAGATGCTTACAATGCAGATGTCAATATCTGAGCTAGTCTCCTAGGCACTGTTTATGGTCAAAAGGTGTCTTCTAATAAGTACTTCTGAGAAATGATTCATCTTCTCTTGAGACAGATGTCCACAACAGGTTGGATGATTTCAGCCCTGTTGCTGCCTCCCTGTGAAGGGAGCTTGGTGCACTAGCTCAGATGTGGTTAGCTACCTTGCAGCTGTCTAAAATAAGGAGAGACGAAGCCCATCCTGATGGGTTTTGAAATGTTCCGTTTATGTGCCTTCTTGTTGTGCAGCACTCTACCAATGCTTTGTAGCTACTGTAAAAGGGAGACTGTAGTCTCACTTAATTCTACATTTATGCATTTGGTTTGCCCCTGTGGCAGATTTAAAATATTTGGTGCTATTAACTCAGGCCCCAGTCTTTTCAGATCCTGACCACTTTCTGCTCTGATTGAATTGATTTGAAAATATGAAGGTGCCAGCATCTGGGACGCTCAAGTCCTTGGACGATAATCTTAATTTGTGGGGTTTTTTTGTTACTAATTATACTCCTTTTACAGTACTTTGTTTCATTTGCAAATGTTTTTCATTTACATTTACCTTGACAAAAAAGTCACCAGTGGAAGTGAGTTTAAGTGATCTGTTGAGGCAGTGTTGTGTCTGAGGATTTCGTTAATAAGAGCTGAGTCTTCAGGCTGGAATTCTAGAGCTGAGGGGCTTTGGAGGCAGTGCGATGTTACTGTCCCCTTGCCTAGGCTTTTTTGTTGTTGTTTTTGTGCTAATGCTGCTGCTTGTGGTGCAGTTTGCAGTGCAGGCTCACAAACAATTGGCACACCTGAGACTGCAGGCCAGGGATCAAAATCTTCAAACCGACACTCCCAGTATTGTGGAGCTCTGACCTGAGTATGTGGTTTCAAAACAGAGGAATTCAGAGATGGAGCCCTTGATGTCCTAAGGAAAGAAGTGGGAAATAAAGACGTTTACAAATGGAATGTTTTGAAGAGTTTGCTCATGATTAGACTGTCCTCCTGCTTTAACTCTCTTTTTGCCTTTTCTTTGGTTGATATAAGTTTTTTCTCTCTTGGAGTTTAAAAAAAATCTGCTTACTTGGCTGCATTTTGGAAAATGTGATAGCTTCCAAAAGTGGTGCTGTAATACTGAAAGGTGTGTGGGTAGTATCTGTGAGCTAACATTCTGGTCCTCCTTTGTAAGAGGATTTTACAGTTGAACTTAGTGGGAACGGGATTTTCCTGGAAATACCTAAAAGCTCACTTTATTCCCTCTCTGCCACAACCAGAGAGTGGGAAATTATGAAGTGTAAGATGCAAAAGAGAGAAGTTCCTTTTATTTTTTTAATACCAATGTGTACAAATACTTGCTTTCAGTTCAAGATACAGATTTTAGATTGAACAAGAACTTCCATTAAGGGTAACACAAACAATTTGTATAACCGTACTGTGTATCATTTGCCATAAAGATGGAATTTCGATTAAAGTTTTTTTGAAAGAAATAACCAAGCTATGTGTCCGAGTAAGCAAGTTCTTTCAGTGATATTTGATGTCCTCTCTGTTCCTTTCTTTTTCTCTGGGCCAGAAAGCAAAACCATATTTGTCGCTCATTGAGCAGCATTTTGATTCAGATCAGTAGTGGATTTTGAAGCCAATATTTCCTTCCCCCTTACAGAGTGTTGATTCACTTTGTGCACCAATTTCAATAGATGTTCAGCTGAACTCCTTTGAATGGAAACGCTCTGGATGTGCACCAAATATGCTCCAATAGGGGCAAAAGGATCTGAACCAAAGACAGCTTTGAATCCGGTTTAATGTTTGGTCCAAGGAACCAGACTAAATGTTACCTGAAGTAAAGTACCCAAATGGCTTGTAATGTAGATGCAGAGCCTCAGCAGGCACTGTGATATAATCTGTTCTCATTGTGCCAAACTAGTTGCTATGTAGATGAAGCCATGATGGGTCCATCCATTAGGCTTTCAAGGAAAATAAGGGCTTCTGGATTCACAGTCCTTCAGTATCCCGTTGGATGTGTGAGGGTGGAGTTCACTGATAAAGTTCTTTGAGTGGCATCCTTTATGTAAGTATTCCTACATATTTTTGTAGATTGAATTCTGCAGTAACCAAAGCCTTTCATTCTGCTAGTGCAGACTTGTCCGTATATATAATCTCTTAGTAGTTACTGCAACATCTGGCTTGGTATTTCAAAAGCATAGTTTCATATTGCCTTCACTTCCCTGACCACCTACTCGCTGTGGCAATTGAACTCTAATATCATTTTAACTGATCGCTTGGTGGTTGTGACAATTATACAAGGCTTTCATATAAGAAACTACCTACCTCTTGCACAGAGAGCAATACCTTCATTTGTAGTTTTCTGTATAAGGTGTCAAACTCCTCAGGGTGGGCCTTGGTTTTGAGGGCACAGTCTGTTCTTCTGTAGATGAAAGTGTATTCTGGCTAGACTATGTTCCCCTCACCAGACCTCCTGTGCTATGTATTTGCCATGATCTTGCAAGTGTCTCGGACAATGCCAAGTGACACAGGATATGGAAGGGGAAGTGGCTGCATGTGATACGATTTCTTAATACCAAGACCCAGCTACACAGGGGATGATAACAAGCTTGCAGAAGGTATGGGATTTAGCATCAGTCTGAGCATGATTTTTTGGAAAAATAGACTCAAGAAGAGGGTGAATAAAGATTTGCTCTAGTTTTGAATCCCACATGCAACTGTTAGTTTATTTAGTTATCTATTAACAGTCTCTAGGCAGCTTATTTCTTATGTTAAAAATTAAGTGCTTGATTGATTATTTTCTAGGATAGTGATGGGAGTTGTGCTATATGTAAGCTGATCCATTAGCGAGCTCTCATTACTAGATGGTTGTGATGGGGAGGGAGAGATATGAATAGATGGGAAGAGTGAAAGAGAGTGGTGGTTTTATTTGATTTCTTTCCTCTGCTATTTCAGTTTCAGCAGCATTGCCAAAGTGACTTTTCTCCTTCAAAAGATGCTGAAAATCTTAAGAGTTTGGTCTAAATATTCAGATGCCTGAAAACTTTTTGAAGAGCCACATCGTTTGAGCATCTTTAAATGAAACAGACTACTGAGAGCATGCTGTAAGGAACAGTTTGACGTTCAGCAGCAAGGCTACTCCACGAGGGAAGACGAAGTAGGAGCGAGGCAGGCAGAGCCAGTGTCCTCTCTGACAAGGGGTGCAGTCCCACCATTCCCAAACAAGAAGAGCAGAGCGCGTTGGCTGACAATGGGCAGAGTCAAGCAAGCGGTTGCTGGACAAGCCTGAAGAGATGAGGGAGGAAGCCAAGGAAGAGCAGTCAGTGGGTCGTGAGCTGAATCAGCGAGGTACATGGTTGGGCACAGGCAGTGTGAAGGCAGAGAGGCCCCCAACAAACCTTAAGGAGGCAGATTAGATACTGCCAGACCTCCGCACCTCCCTCAGGGCCTGGATGTTAATAACAAAATACCTGAAATAGGTCTGTCTTAGCTTTATTTTCTTGGGGTGCAGTTCTGGGCCATTTGGCTTTGCACAGGGGGCCTCTGCAGGGGTAAGAGCAAGCGTTTGCCTTCTGTTCGTGATAGTCTTGAATTTGACAAAGACTGTACATGCACAACTTGAATCCTGCAAGGAAACTACTTCTGTGCAGAACATTTCTGGCACGGTAAATAGCTTTTTGCCAGGCAGGCAGCCGCCACCGGGTGCTGGCGAGAGGCAACTCCCGCACTGGGGCCGTGGACTCGCCGCTCGCCTTGCCGTGGCCAGGAGCGAGCGCCGCTGTGCCTGTGCTTGCTCTGGAGCTGATGAAGGTTCAATTGAGGTGATTTGTCATTACTTGATTCAAATTTCTTTAAAACAGCTTGACTGAAATACCTATTTAAATCATCTTTACAAAAATTGTATGTATGTCTTTCTAAATAAGACTTAAACACAATTTCCTTAAGCTAATCCTGGGAATTTATGAGATTGTCTTGGCATCAAGGTCACTTCGCATTGGAGAGAGCGAGCGGTTTAGTTTGCAGGAGGATGAATATTCATGTCCTGTTAACAGCAGATATGTTAACTCACTTTTACCCTTTAATAACCTCTTAGAAACGGAAACCAGCTGCTCCCAGTATGTTTTCAAATTCTAAGGAAGCATCCTCGCATTGGGCATTAGTTATAAGGGTAGGAAGCATCCATCTGCTTTCCTGTTTTGCCACCTTTGTCGCGGTGGGCAGGGCTGCAGCCTGCTGACTTCTGCCACGCGCCCGGTGCCTGGGCCGCGCGCCGGGCAGGAGCGCTGGGCGCCAGTGTGCCGCGCTGCGCTGCTGGCTCTTGGAGCGCCGTGCGGGCTCCAAGCCGTGCTGCAGCTGAAGGCGCTCTGCATTGTCTGGCAAATACCATCTGTTCTTCACAACGTCCTTTTTTATCCTTCCGGACAATGCTGGGATGTTAATGCTTGTGCCAGCTAGCGCCGATTAACCCTGGTTCATTAAGCAAGGGTTTGTGGATGGCTGGAAAGGCAAGTGATGCATCGGTCAGAGGGTGTGTACGGTGCACTATGGCTTTCAAGTTGCTGGGTTTTTTTTAAGTCCTGATCTAGAAACCTATTGCAAGTGATTTATTTATAATTCATAACTTTTAAGCCCTTCTATTACCACACAGGCAAGTTCTTCTCCTGCACATGTAACGCTTTGGTTTATAAATGTGGAGCAGGTTGAAAATCTGTCTTTTGTTTTCCTTTTAAATTTGGATTCAGCAGTAAGCGGCAGGAAAATGTTATTTAATTTGCATTCGAAGGTCTGATTGAATAGCGTTCTTCGTTTGACCATGCAGAGATGGATTGTCACAGTCTTTTATCCTTCAGAGTTCAGAGGTTACATCCCAAACTGCCTGCCTGCTGCCTGATGTGACATTTGAACTCCAAAGGCCAAGAGATCAGGAGGCCATAAAGTAGGGCGAAAGCACTAAAGGTGTCATTCCCATTGTTCTCGGAGGACAGGACTTTAGCCGAGGTCACAATTCACGGGGTGGGGAATAAAGGCTAAATGTCACGGAGCATCAGGGAAGCCCCGGTTCGTACTGTTACTGAGAACTGGTATCGGAGCGCCCTTGCAAGTTTGCTTGCAGTAGCGGGATGGTTTTCTAGCAAGTGCTGACCCCCTGCTTGATCACGTGCCTGCAGGACTAGTAATTCTTAATTTGTATGTTAATCTTTAATTTTGTGTGTTGTATTTTTTGTGCTGCCTGTAACGAGAGGGAGAAATGGTTTACTCCTGCAGGGACAACGTCTCACGCTTGCATAGCGTGCGACCTCGTGTCCCAGGCGGAACAACCCATGAGCTCCTCCGGCGTATGTCTCGCTGTCGCCAGGATCGGGCCGCAGAAGAAACATTATTGTACCTTAAGTACTGCAGTAAGTAACTTTAACAGCACTAATACAGCATTTTTCTTTTTACTGTTTTAAAAACACAGAAGCGTTGGCAGAGATTCAAACTGCAGAACGCTGTTGCTGGAAAGGGGAAGTTGATCTGAAGCGAGGCACTGCTCTGTTTGTGGCTCGCTAGCGTTTTAGCGCAGAGCAAAACACGTCTGAGCCGCTGAGTTCAGCGCAGACGCCCGAAGATGCTGGGTGTTGGGCGTTTCTCACTAGCCTCACTGACGGTTGTGAGGACTCAGCCCTCCGCGGACCAGGCCCACAGTGAAGGACGTCGAGTTAAAAGTCAAACCTCTGTCTCGTTACCTCGATGTCAAAATACATTATCCGCAATATACTAAAGACCAAAATTTTCTTGTGCTGATTTATGGAAAGGTTTCAAGAAATGTCTCAGAAATGCATGTGAAGACACATTTACACTCCCTAGTGGCGAGAATACCTTACACAGCAGAAGAAAAGAGAAATACTCTGTGAGGCTGAAAGCATAACAGCTACAAATACACTGCAGCATCTGAAAAAAAGCCATTATAAATAGAAATCTCTCCCCAAACAATTTTCCCAGGCAGAGAAGCTGGTGCACCTAATGCTGTGTCAGAGCGGCTTTGAGAAACCTCAAACCACAGAACAGATGGATGCAGCGTAAAGGGAGAGGCGTAACTGAAACGAACATCTGAACCACGGGCAGGCAAAGGCTGGGACGATAGGAAGGTTGTACTGACCCAAAAATCCAGGTATTGCGGAGCTCGTACCAGAAACGTGAAAATATGCTCGCGACAAAGAGAAGGAAGGAGATCCCCAGAAGACATAATGGCAGAACTTTGAATGAGAGCAGGTTTTTGCTCAAGATTTTCAGAATTTATTTACTGTTTAAGCTAATCTGTTGCTATTAACTTTGGCAGGGGTAAATATTTTATTTGAAGTCAACATACTGACTTGGACAACTATGTCAGTGTAATTTCTGTCAGAAGACAACTTTTTGAATAAAACTACAGCACTTGCAGAAAATTACTACTTCTGTTAGCAGAGCTGGAGATAAACTGAAGATAGTCTCAATAATCTCATAATCTCACTATG